CCCAGTACTTTCTTGTTGCAAGGCAACCAAGAAAGTACTGGGTTGAAAGGCAAACCCAGTACTTTGCATTGTCAATGCTGACAATGGTGTTGCCAGCATTGTCATGACTGATAACACCAAAAAAAGGTAAAACATAAATGAAATTTGAAAGACTTTTGTGATGGCCATAACAAAAAAATTCCCTTTGTGGTCCCTACCTACTTTGTCTCCACTTTGACTGCAATCTTGGGGTTAATGTCCATTCGCAAGACCCATCTCTGTCCAAGATTTAACTTCCTGGCTGTTGTCTTTAGATGGTGCTTCAATACTTCAACATAATATTCTTTCCTCATGATACCGTCTATATTTTATAAAATATACCAGTTCCTCATGCAGCAAAAACAACCCCATAACATGATACTTCCACCCCCATACTTCACAGTTAGGGTGATACAAGCATTCCCATGTTTCCTCCAAATGTAACAATGGTCATTAATCCAAACAGTTCCACTTTAGTTTCATCAGACCATAGGAGATGTCTCTGGAAAGTAAGATCTTTGTCCTTGTGTATATCTGCAAACCGCAGTCTGGCTTTTTATGTTTCTTTTGAAGTAAAGGCTTCTTCCTGGCTGAGTGGCCTTTCAGCCCATGTTAGTACAGGACAGTTTGACGGTGGATAATGACAGTCTGACCAGCTTCAGCAGGATCTTTACATGGTCTAAGGCTTTTGCTTTGGGGTCAATCTGCACATTTTTGACCAAAACACATGCTCTTTAAGAGAGAGATCCCATCCCTTTCTTAAATGTTATGATGATTGGACATTCCCATACTTGCATATAACTGTTAGAACAGATGAACCTTTAAACATCAGTAAATTGTTCCCAAGAAAGAACCAGACTTGTGCAGCTGCACAATTCTCTTCTTCAAGTCTTTACTGATTTCTTTTAACTTTCACATCATGTCAAACAAGAAGGCAGTGTGTTTCAGGTCCTTCCAATTAACTCAGATGTGTAGGTTAATCTATCAGAAGTTTGTGGAAGGAAACACAAAATCATACATTTTAAATGATAGTTATCCCTGATGGTGACCAAATGTATGTAAACTTAGGAATTCAAAGAAAGGTATACAAAAAAATCTCTAAAAAATGTCACTATTTTTTCTGGCAATTAGCAAAAAGAAATAATTTAGGTAATTCTAGCTAACTTAATACAAGAAATGTTTGGTTTGGTTGAACTTCTATGGAGAGCCATTTTAACTAAAATTAAATAAATAATTTGCTTCTTTATTCTTATTTATATGCATTTATTATTTCATTTATTGATACATTTATTTATAATTTAATTTTTTTATCCATTCCCACATTTATTTCTGTCTGTCCTTTTCCCATCTCTCCACCCCTCTTCATTATGATAATGAGGAGGCGCAGTGTATTTGGAAAGATGGCTTCAGCCATCTTGCCTTCAAGAAAGATGGCGACCTACCACCAGCTTGCCGAGCTGAAGCCTAGCAATTTTTATTTTAGAAAATAGTGTTATAACTAAAGACTGTTATTTTCTGTGTGGACGCTCAGACAGAACGTGTTTCAGGTAGAGGCTCTAACGGACTCAGAGATTCACCGTCAGGTTTTTCATAGTTTGGACAAAGCGGCAGATGAAGTTGGCTTCCAATTGCATCTTCGGGAGTCCTCTGAAGCTACTAGCTGAGGTGGAACTATGAAGTGCAGACCTTTCTGTACATCATAAGAGAACAGCAATACCCAAAGGCAACTCTGTGGAGCATCGACGAATGAGTTGTTTTTGCTGAGCTGAGAGAATGAGAATGGCAAGCCTCGGAGATCTGCATGAGAGGCCACCCTGACATCCACAGATGCACATTCAACACCACTGATGTGCAGACACGCACACTGTTAAGGTGAGCAGTGTGCAGGTATGCCTATACAGTCATGAAGACATAGAAAATTGTTGTACCAAACATTAAAATGAAGAAGGAATTTGAAGAAAACTAGGATGGCATAATTTTTTAAATGACTGTACGTATCTGTATTTAAATTTACACAGTTATTTCAGTTATTGTGTATGTCTGTCAATGATAAACATGTTTGTATGCATATAAAGTAAATATAACTATTAATTTAAGTAGTTCTTTGTGGGCATAAAACTTGTCCACATTAGTACTCCTATGTTTTTGGTCTGCATATGTGCTTCCACATTTGATTACTGTTCTTCAGAGGTGGGCAGAGTACCCAAAATTGTACTCAAGTAAGAGTAGTACTACTTCAACATGTTTTTACTCTAGTGAAAGTAAAAAGTAGCCATCCAAAAAAATTACTCAAGTANGAATAATAAAGTATTTCGTNAAAAGTCTACTCAACTACTTAGTATCTGATTAAATTATCAATCATTTAATATCTAAAAAAATAATATAAAAAGACATAGTAGAAATTTTGGTATTTTAAGGACAAAAAGACATTTCACATAGGTGAATTTTTTTCAGGCAAAATCAGTTTCTTTCAATAAAAACACTTACCAGCTTTAACAAAAAATAAAGCTGTTTTGTTTAAAAAAAAAAGCTTAAAGTCTATGTCTGGTGAATTTTTGATTAACACACATTTGTTCTTCATTCAGAGGTGAGAGTCCAGAAATGAGCGTCCACACGAAAAATAAAGTCAATAGTTACAACACTATTTTCTAATAAAGTTGCTAAGCTTCAGCTCATTGATAAGCTGGTCGTAGGTCGCCATCTTTCTTGAAGCCAAGTAGCATGAAGACAACGCCCCTCTTCATTATCACAATGAAGCAGAAATGAATAAGGAAATGGAAACAGCACAGGGAGAAATAAATGTGGGAACATAAGTAAAATAATAAACAAATAAATAAATAAAACAAATAAATGCATACTGTAAATAAATAAATAGATAAATACAAATAAGAATGAAAAAGCCAGTTATTTATTAATTTAATTGTATCTGAAATGGCTCTCCTTAATCTTCAGACAGAGAAAGAAATGTGTGTGTGATTTTTAGTTGGTGTATATTAATATCTGGTTTCAACTGTAGTATTGTAGCATGTTAATTTTATACATTTTGGTTTTCTACTGTAATTGTATAGCACAAAGTAACTTCACAAATAAGATTTTTTTTATTATTTTTATGATAATTTCATGTGTGATGTAGTATAAACGTGGAAAAAACATTAACAGCAGGCAGTTCATTCATTAACAATGAGGAAGATTGTGGATAAGACATTATGGATTTTGCTAGAGAGGGGCTCTGACAGAATGCACTTTCAACATGAAGTAACAGGAGAAAACAAGAAGTCGAAGAAACACTAAAATAGAGCAGAGCAGGATATGTTCAAGCTGAATCAGATCCCAGTTCTTTGAGTTGATCTTAAACAAACAACATTAATTTAAGTCATTTCTTGAGGGTAAAATGACTCAAGCTGCATAGAGAAGGAGGTTCATGGCAATCAAAATGCTAATGCAGTACAAATGAATTACTGTTAAAGCAAAGCATAATGAAATGAAAGTAAGGTCTGACAGCAACAGGTTTAAATACAGAGCTTCTCATTTCGCCTCGCTTCGCCCATGCAGAAAAAGTGAGAAACTGTAAGAAGAAAAGGATTTTATGGAGGAGCTCTGGACAGAAGTGAAGAGCAACTAAAATGGATATGGGATTGATAACTTTATGCAACAAAGCTTTAAAATATTTGTAAGGATTCAGATGAAATTCTTAAAGCTGCAATATGTAACTTTCATTAAAAAAATTGTATATATTTGTTGAAGTCATCACTGTGTTGTGACAGTATGGTAAGAAACAGATCTATGGGAAAATAAAAAATAAAAAATCAAGCTCCTCTGCCATTTCATAGCGTTATCTAGAAACAACCAATGGGAGCCAGTAGGAGAATCTTAGTGCTGTCAATCACCACTTCACAGCTGCTCACCATGTGCAATGTGCACATTTAGCCCATCAGCCAGGAGGACAATGGTTGTTCTTAGGCAGGATGACTCAGAAGTGGTGCATTTCTTCAGACAGGATTAGCAGCTCAGAGTGAAGGAGATTGATCTGTTCATATATTTTTTTTTCTCTCATATTATACTTTCACAATATAGCAACAGTTTTAACAAATATGTAAAAAAAAATTTCTAAAAGTTACACACAGCACCTTTAAAAGGAATTATTGTTATTTTCTAATCAGGTCAAGTGACATATACACATGGTCACAGAGGTAATAATGAATACAAAATCGAGCTCCTCTGCCATTTCACAGTGTTATCTAGAAACAACCAATGGGAGCCAGGTTATATGAAAATGAACAAATGAAAGTCAGACATGGCTTTTCAGATATGGTTTAACAGATTATTTTTAAAAAAAAATAAACCCATGAAACAAGCCTGGACAAAAATGATCAGAGCCAGCCCAAGCCTCCATGGGGCCCTAAGCAAAATTTGGTTTTTGGGCCCTCTATTTCTGCTAATAATGTGGATTGCTGCAATCAACAGTCAGACAATTAGATCATTCATACAACTGCTAAACTCATTGAGAAGCATAAAGAGGAAGCGAAGGATTCTGGGACCAACAATAAAATCAGGAGATTAGAAAGAAAACTAGAGACAAGCAGTTAAAAGTACAGGTTATAAGACCATCTCCAAGCAGCTTGGACTGTGACTACAGTTGTACATATTATTCAGAAATTTAAGATCCATGGGACTGTAGCCAACCTCCTTGGACGTGGCAACATGAGGAAAATCCATGACAAAACAAAGAGATGGATAAAATGAATGGTAGGAGTCCTATTGTGCATCTTTGGAAGGAGCTGAAACATATCGTCTGGAAAAGGCTTCAAACTTGAGACAACTGGAGCAGTTTGCTCATGAGTGGGATAAAATACCTGCTGAGAGGTTCAGAAGTCTCATGGACAGTTATATGAATGTTTGATTGCAGTGATTGCCTCAAAAGGTTGTGCAACAAAATATGAAGTTAAGGGTACCATCAAAAAGAATGGTATCCAGGGCTGTTTCATGAGTTTATTTTTTTAAATAATTCTGTAGAAGCATGTTTGAAAAGCCATGCTTGACTTTAATTTGTTCATTTTCATAGAATGTTTATTCATTATTACCTCTGTCAGATTCAAGTTATTTCTGTGATCATTGTGGGTTATTTTTTCATTAACTGAGGGGAACCAACAATTTTGCCCATGTGTGTAGTACTGTCATTGATATTCTGACTCCTTCCATTTTATTGTAGGTCCCAGAATTCAGTGTGGCTCTGTGTTTGTGTCTGTTTTGTTCTTTAGCAGTGAGGATCCTCAATTTTTAACACCTTCATTAGCTAATGAAGGTGTTAAAGTTCTGTAGACCTTAAGGTCTCTTTTGAATGCATCAGCATTTTACTTATATTTAATCTCTTGTATACCTTTCTATTAATTTTTTTTATCTACTGCTCTGAGAGATTAGGAAGAATTGTTTATCTGTTTTATTGGTTTTATATGTTATGCTTGTGTCAAGTATCCATACTGCATTGATTATATTGGAGAATACACTAAAATATTCCAGACATTTTTATGTTATTGATGATAAAGCATGAGGAAAATTCATGTCTGGATTTAATTAAGACAAGAAAAAACAGTCTGCATAGTCAAAGTGTCTGTGTGCTGGACTGTGACATCTGCAATACAGAGCAGGGGCTTTTGGAAACATAAAATCAGACAGAAATGATTAACCAGTAAACACCTGTAACTAAATAAAATATTGCACTACTGTGGTGATCCACCATGTCTGAGTCTGCAAAGAGTTACTGGAGAGAACTGGAAAAAGATGACCACATCCCTCTGTGACAGAATCAGTACCAAGTGTGAGCTGACGGCAGCTTCCACTCTCTACAAGTTCCAGTCATCAGCAGCTTTAGTCAACAAATAGAAGTTTTCTGGACCAAGTGTTAAAGATGTCAATAATAACAGTCACCTGGGATTCTGTAGTTTATTGTGATGAGTATCCAGATAAGTTGGACTGGTCAATTCAATGTACAGCACTACTGTTCTTTCAGTTCTACCTAAGAATAACACAGTGATGAGCAGAGCCACAGCAGTAAACAATAGCAACAGGACTGTGCAGCAACAAGCTCACCCACACCAGCCACTTGCACTAAAGGGAAAATCACAAGCACATGTCTGAATTTACACACTAAAAACATACATGCAAGCTGTGGAAAAAAGCTTACAGATTTTCAAGCAAAGAGAAGCTATGTTAGCTATACATCATATCACACAGCAAGGGTTAAACAACCAGTTTGGAATATCTGTGGCTGATTTTGAGAACTTGACCAAAAGATCACCTCCAAAACTTTCTTTAATTTTAAATTGATTTCCATTTGAGCAGCAGAGATGATGTCAATACCAGAAGAACAGAATCCTATCAGTTAATCTTAATAAGATGTACTTATTGATCAACTAAAAACAAGATCAATAAGTTAAATTTACAAACAAAGCTATGGTCACTTATTTCTGTTGATCAATTAAACTCAGAAATAAATTTGTGAATTAATAACACAGTTTCTTTAAGGGCAGCATAAGTTTTGGGGCAATTTTGTTCCACTGACTCAATTTTGTTTGACTTTATATCTAAAATGAAAGGTCTTTTGAACACGCTGTAAACAAAATATTGTTTAAGATTTCAAGTGACCATAACGTTACTGCTATTACTGTTACTCTCCTCAACGTATTGTTTGTACTCATCTTAAATAAGTTGAATTAACTTTTGGATAAGAAATGTTTAATAAGTTATTCTTTTTAACTTGAGTCCATGTAAAACAGTTAAGTATTTGACTGGCCAACAAGGTAACCCACAATACATTTTACCACCACCAGCTGCAACTAATTAAACCACCTTTTTATTTGTCACAAAAAATAGTTTTTAGATGCTTAAGGTCAGGGCCGTGCAGAGACCACTACAGGGGCAGGTGCACAAGAACAACAAAAAAACAAACAAACAAAAAAAA